GCTCCGCTGGCTGCTTCATTCCCGCCTTATAACACTGGTTAGGAAAGGATGGCCAGGGCTTGCAATTTCAATATCATGATCCTGAGGAAAGGTCTTTGAAATTTATTTCTTCTCAATATTTTCAAAAACAATTGCTGAACAAACTCGTTCAGACAATTAGGCTTCGGTTGAGGAATCACAACCAAATACAAAGTAAATTTTATACAAAAAACAAAACACAACATATATGATATTAACAATTTCATTAACTTTTCACTTACCATTTACCATACTTGTTTCTCTAATAAATAGAAGTCTCTGAAACAGCACTTAAATTGTTCATAACAAGAAATTGTATCAATCAAATTTGGAAGTTAAGTATTAATAGCATACACTAGGAGTACATATCAAAATACTATAACTATACATAGTACATTAAAATGGAATTCCATTTCATACACTTCATAAATTTTAAAATCTCAAAATAACCGAGCTCACTTTTCAAATTTGTTTATTAATACACTGAAAAGTTAGTTCTCAACACCAGATGTTAATTATTGTGTTAAAAGAAAAAAAAACTTATCACATTGATTATTTAATATAAATTTAATCAGAACTTATTTACACTTTTTATTGTCCAATGTTGTCTCAAAAATAAATCACCAAGTTTGATTGCAAAAAAACAGTTTCATAATCGTGAAGATTAGTTCAATTTCTTTTAGTTTAGCCAGAATGAGCCTGACTATCGACGAACAGTTGACTATATCTTGCCATAAATTCATAAATCCCATCGCTACTTCCATTGTCTATTAAATTGCTCACTTCATTTTACAAAGCACTTTATATAACAAAGTAAAAAGTGCATTAGACATCATAGTTATACTTTTGTCAACACTCAAAAACACTCTCAATACATTTACGATGATATTATATAATTATTTTAATGAAATAATTATTTTGTGGGTCACATCATCATATTACTAATCTGTATTTGTTTATTTTGATAAAAAAGTTTTATTGCTAAATAAATGACAAATTAAAAATGTGTCACTGCTACCTCAGTAAATGATTTATCAATTCCTTGAGTAGTTTACTTCAGACTTTTGTATTGCTTTATTTTATTTTTTAATATTATTATTATTTTCTTTTATAATAATTTTGTAGTGTTTTATGAAATGAATTACAATTCATAACAACCTATCCTTTTGTTGTAATGTTTAAAAATCTTATAAAGAGTTTTTGAGAACAACTGAAACTATAATAAGTACTAAAAGTGTTTTAAAAACACATTTAAACATTTTTTTAAATTATTTAAAAAAATAATAATGTATTATTAGCAATAAAGTCCATGGGATTGTGTTCAATTACTTATTATTTAAAACGAAATTAACAAAGCCTCAGTTATTATTTGGAATTCAATGGTTCAATTTTTTTTTTTCTTATACCACTACAACTACAACCCATGAAGACCCTTGGGTTCAGTACTATTTAGGAAAAGTACTGTTTCTTAGTCAACAGTTGTGCAAGAAGGTGATTTGACCGAGATCACACTCAACCCCCAGGTTTTTCTCCCTTAACTAAGGGTACCCACTTTATAGAGGCTGGGTATGCCCCAGTGTCTCCTGATTCCAGGGTCGCCCCCAGCTGATGAAAAATAATAAATAATTTTCTGCCATGAGCTGGGATTCAAACCCAGGACTTTGAGAGCATTGGATGACCAGTGTCCTGTCACTGAGCTATCCCCACTCCCATTCAATAGTTCAATAGCTTCTTAAAATTTCACTTTTTCATCAACTTTATATTGTGCTTTATGTAAACGAACTTGCTGAAATATTTCCAAAACTCAAACACTATATAAAGTGAATATAGCTACTTTGTTGTTTGCAACTGGCTATACTTACATGCAACATAATGCAATTGGTTAAATTATTAATTAAAAAAAGAACATATGTTATTGAGTACCACTTCAAACTTACCATTTTTTTATCATAATGGAAAATTGAAAGTTATAGAATGATCGATTTACAGGAAACCTGAAAATTGCTGACCTAATTAGATATCAAGGACTCACTGACTGGGTTGCATTGAGACATGAATGAACATCAACTAGGAGTTCCAGCTGAGATTTTAAGATGTAAAATGGCGTCTGGCCATCCCTAAGCATAACAAAAACACCTCAGAAAGGTGGATTTCCGGCCTCAGCTGTTTCCTATCATAGCACCAGTTCCTTCGTATAGACGATGGACAGCATATTATTAGACACAATATGGTCACCACTCTCTATTCCTCTATCCAAGCCTTCAAACAAATTACAAGAGTTTCAACTAAAACAGGAAGTTTCATTTAAAATAATCCACATAATTGATAATTAAATCCTTCCTTACATCAGTTCTCCTGAGATGTATATTAAGAGAACTGATAAATTAGTACTTAATGTTTTCACAAAACATTGTCTGTACTTATATAAATCCTTTTATAACAGCTGATGTAGAGAGACTGAGGAGGAGAAAATATTTGATGAGCCTCATTCTCAACCTAAACCTAATGGTATTTTTGGAAGAAATATCATAAGGTATTGTACTATCCCAACCACCATATTCCTCTACTAACTTATGACAAATGGGTAATTCTAAGATAACAGGCCATTATTGGATCCAAAGAGAACATGAAGAACTTATTCTTTTTTATTTGAAAAGAAATTAAAAGATATTTGTTATCCTGCAAGTTATTTAAAAGTTGAAACCTGAAAATATTACCATAACTATCTTAAGGGTCATATTATTAACTTCACTTTTGACTTTCCTCGGAAAAGTTTTTTTATTTAACAGTTTTATAGTATACTTTATAGTCACTGGTTTATATCTATTGAATGTTGCATAAAAAAAAGATGTCCCATGTTTGTATTGTTAATGCCGTAGCCAAAACAGAAGGACATATGTTAAAAAATAAAATTCTAATAAAAAAAGGTTGGTAAAAATAGAGGATCAATTGATGATATTGAACTCTCAAAAACCTTAACATTAGAATCTTTTACAGTAATCAAAAATGACAGGTGACAAGACAGATCTGTACATCCTTGTATGTCATTACCGTAACATTATTACATTTGTTTTTGTATCTATTTATACTTTCAATAATACGAATATAATACAATAATAAAAAAATAGGAAGTAGGAGAAGGCTTATCACTGCATTATCGGAATCATCAGTGTTCAGGTTATAAACATTGGGAGATAGCAGTCAGTGCCGGCTTGCTAGTCAAGAAGTACACATTAACTGTAATGGTGTTTATCACTACAACCCATAGAGGGTTTGGTTTTCATTATTTTTTAAGGAAGTGTTGTTTCTTGTCAACAGTTGTGCAAAGAGGTGATTTGAACAAGATCATGCTCAACCACTAGATTTTTCCTCTCAAACAATTCTTTAATTAAGAGTACCCACTTAAGAAGCTGTGTGTGCCCCAGAAAGGTTCCCCAACCTCAGAGGCTTTCCATGGCTGATGAAACAGAATAACTACTTGCTACAACCAACAAGATCCAGGACTTGGGACACAGTAAAATTTCATTACCGTAACCAAAATCCTGTTGTTAACATAACTGAAATAGCATTTTTTATAAGATATTTTTAGTTACAAAATTATTTATGGTTGATTAAATTTATGAAAACAATATTTATTATTAATATTAAATAGAACTGATAAAACAAAAACAGTTAATAATAACAAAATAAACGGGAAAATTACTTTAGTTTTGCCTAACTACAACTAGAAGAACATCACAGAAGATCAGCAAATAAAAAGAAATTAAAATTGAATTTTTTTCTTATTTATTGTTTTTCAGTTGACTGCTTAAATAGGTCTGAAATCTTAAAATTACCCAGATAGTTATTGTGGGGCTAAATGGACATACCTATCAAACCACAACCTTCACCATGAGAAGGACCACCATGGAATCATCTGTTTCCAGGCAAGATAGAACTGGGTTCATCCAGCAATCAACCCTCTTGGATAATTCAATAAACATACCAAGAATAAAGCATACAATTCACCAACTATTTGCAAGTAATTCATAACAGCCACAGAAATAGTTAAAAGTTTTTTAGATTGATATCTCTCTTCTCTGTATTTGATTTTATGGCTAAATTTCAAAGTAATTTAAACAAAAAAATAAAAAAAATCAAAGTAAGTAATTCAAACTTACTATACAACTCTATTATCTAGTTTTCTAGAAAAACAAACAAATTTCAAAACCCTAAAAATTTCTGGAACGAACTATTTCAAAAATAATTCTTAATTATGATGATACATAGCTAATAATTATAATCTCTAGACCATATATTTAATTAATTTAGGAATAAAATAATTAATAAAAAGTAAATAAAATAATAAAAAAATTCAGGCATGGTTTTTCATAAAATATGGACTACATTCTTATTTATTTCTTGTATCTTAAAAATTAAGAAAATCCACAGATTACATCACATGGCAATAAGATGGGAGGTGAATTGACTCTGAAGATCCATGACAAAAGAGACGAGGTCTTATCAGATCCATGATGCTTTACCAATTGCATGTAATTTTAAGCTACCAGAAAAATAAATTCAACTGTGTTCTTACAGAAAGGGGATGGAAGTCACAAAAAATATTATGATGTAATGTGTGAATGGATCTTAGATATGATTTATTGATTTTAAATTTAAATCTTTGTAAATTGTACCTATTAACATTTATAATTAAGCCAGATCTATAATGAACTCACTATATGTTAATTAAAGTACCTTTAAATTTTACACTATTATTACAATCCAAATCATACTCAAAGAAAATTAATAATAAATTTAAATATGTAATAATAATAAAAATAAATTTATATTTCTAATGATATGAGTGCATGTGTGTATTAAATAGTCATTAATCATGAGAAAAGAAGAACAGTTTTTTTCAAACAGCTTCCATCATTTCCTGAAAATTAATAAATAAAATATACTGTGAGTAGGTGGATTGTTGGTTGTGCTCGACCCACCTCGTGAGTCATCTCCTCATTGACGAGTTGCATCACTTCATCTCGGGTCCATTGAGTGATGTTCTTCTCTCGGGAGCTGCTGTTTTCAACATCTGAACAAATGAAACCGTAATAAAAGGACTTAGCCGATTCTTTAATCTATTTTGTCTCAATATTTAACATGAAAATATTCCCATACCCAGCCCACCTCACGCATACTTTACCTAAAAGATTTATTTGTTTTGTTTTTCTTTATAAGATTAACCTTTATCAATCAAAATTAAATTAAGCAAATAGTTATATATTTCAATAAAATTCAAAGAAAACTTAATGTTTGTCATGCTATTGTACTACATTTTAACCATCATATTTTTGAATAAAGGATAAATATGTATAATAAATTAAATATATGAATATTTTTATCCTACATTGCATAATGTAAACTGCTCAAAAAATTGAAATAGACCACTTGTAAAAATTCAGACGAATAATCATTAAACTTTTTTTAAATATGTGTATAGATAAATTGTTTAAAAACCTTATTCATTCAATAAATTTCTTTATATATAAAAAAAAAAAAGATGGATCTCCTCTACTTAGAATTAAAATGTTATTTTGGAAAAAAGAAGCTTATCCCTCAAATAATAAAAGTTCATCCAAGTTGTTCATCCAGACAAGGCAAAATTAACAGGCGTTGAAGTTCATCCAAAACCTGCTCAATCGAATTTGTGAAGGGGGAACGCACAGGCTGGCTCATACGTATGATTTATTTTTCCACTATATAGCAGTCAATCACCCTTGCTCTATGGGTTCCATATATTTATCATTAAAAAAATAAATAAAGTTTTCCATTTTTCTTGTGATAAACGAGAAAAACAGGTCAAATGACATTGTAGACATGAGTTTGTCCGGTCATATGCCCATTCTATAAAATATCAGCTGAATTTTTAAATTACACAATATCCTTGCCTGGGACATAAATGAACTTCGTAAGACAGCACTAGCTCAGTAATAACTGTATTAAATCACCAGGTTTACTGCCCATTGGTGTTGAACTTTATTGTCTATTGGATTGAACTTTGTATATCAGTCCTGCTCAAGGGCAATTTTTCGATCTCTGGCTCTTCCCTGAGTGTAGTGGGTAGTACAGATTCCCTGGTATCATAATCAGTCGCTTCTGATGACTAAGAGCAATCAAGTCTATTGCCTAACTCTGAAAGAGCAATCAAGTCTATTGCCTAACTCTGAAAGAGCAATCAAGTCTATTGCCTAACTCTGAAAGAGCACAAGCCTTCTCTAGTTTTTTGTTAGTAATTCTTAGTAAAGGAATTTAAAAAAGTTCTTTAATGCAATAGTTCAATGTATGCTGATGGTGAAAGGCAAATATTTCTTTCTTTGGGTGATTAAATTAAAATTAAAAGCCAAATTGCATAAACAGAATGAATTCAATTTGTTTATTTAATTTTTTATTGATCCTCAAACAGATAAAACAAACATTGTGAGTAAGTTGAAAAATAGTTTATTTTAAAGCAGGAAAAACTCATATCATGGGGTAAATGAAAAAGAATAATATTAATATTTTTGCAAACAATCCACTTCAATTTATGAGCAGTTTAATTTTGTATTCCCTCTAACCAAACCAAAGATCACTTAAAAATGAATAAAATCAAACATTTAATAAATTCATTTAATTTAATTAATTGATATTTTTGATAAGGTCAAAGATTTACTTATATAATTAAAATTAACACTTAAACTTTTTGTTTATTAAATCATTATTTCAACCAATTTTGGTAATTGTTTGATAAAAGTTTTTCTGAAGGTACAACTTTAATATATACTATACAATTTCCTTTCATTATAGAATAGCCAGTGGACATTGATTTTAATTAACATCATTATGATCAAGGCATAATTAAACAAATTACTATAATTATTTTTCTTTAATGAATGAAACAAGCCTCAAGCAATACTGCGTCTTAAGTATGATTTGTTATTTATTTTCTTTATAGTTTCTTGAAAAAGAGAATTAAAAAAGAAAAGAAAGTAAAATATTGACTGAACAAATTATACTTTTTTTTTTTACAAAATCTGTTCTAAGTTTTAGTTGGTAATTTATATGTTTTATATTATCATTACTTGTTCTGATAACTTAACAACTTTACAATTACAATGTTTTAAAATCTTTAAGCAACATCAAACACGGCACACCCTTTTCTACTTTGAAAATTATTATTGTTATTTATACAGTATTCATCATTTTCACAATATTTTATTTATTTTCCCTTTTGTTCAGTCAGATTTTCCCTCAGAACGAACTTAAAAATCTCTTCCACTCAAATATGTACAAAATAAAACGTAATATTAAAAGTAACTATTTGTTTTATCTTCAATTTCAATCTTTATGTATCTTCTTTATCTCGGTGATCTTATCAAAGATATAATAATGAATCAGTTTTCCAAAGTTGCAAATGAATCTGACAAATGTCAGCTTGAAGACTAGTTATATAAGTCAAATAAATAGTATGAATTTACTAAATGTTTTCTTAAATTTTTCTTTAAATAACAATGATTATATGAATAGTAAACTTAAAATAATTTAAAGAACAACATAAATTGAGTAATACATTATTAAATTAATATATATATATATATATATATATATATATATATATATATATATATATATATATATATATATATATATATATATATATATAAACGTTTATTGTTTAGATATACTTTCAACTGGTTAATATACACTATGAAAATTAAAATTATTAAATAAACAATGACTGTTTTGGCTGAGAGGATCAGACAAACTTCATCAGAATTTATTAAAGCATATATCCTAATAGAATATAACCTTTTTGACCACTGCCATAAATATTCGAATTTTTTTTTTTTAATTCGTTGACTAAAATTGAATCAGTGTTAAACAATATTAGGACTGCAAAAAATATTAAATAATTCTATTCAAGTTCTTTGTATATGTCTGTATTTAATAAATATAATCTCAGTAATTTCAATTTAGGTATTCTGAAGATCTCTTTTATAGGAACTGGTAAAAAATAAATAAAATAAAAAATCCCGAAGGAAGGAAGGATAGACGATCAATTTTTTTCAGGAAGAGGTAAAAAAAGATGCAGAGAAAAAAGATTCAAAAAATTGAAGATAACAGAAAAGTGCGAGCAAGGAATGGTACCGAGCACTTAGGAACAGAAAAGAAGTGAGATTGAAAATGCTTACTGTGTGCACAAGAAGTAGGGAGGAGTTAAATCTCAATGAGAAAGATCGCAATGAAGGTACGTAGGAAGGGAAGAAAACTTTTGAAAAAAGCAAGCTTGAAATGCTCTAAAATGATAATGATTCAAAACTGACAAGAAAATTCCATAAAGGCGTGAAGGAATTTAAGAATGGTTTCCAACCCAAAATATCAATATACAAAAATAAAAAGGGTGAACTTATCAGTGACCCATAAAAAATTATGGAGACGAGTGTATTTTGATCATCTATTAAATGTTCAGCAACCAATCCCAAACAGCGTAGTGCGAAACTGCTCTAGAGTAGGACAGGAAGAAATTAACAACAGTGATGTAGAGCCTCCAGATTATGAAGATTTTTTAGATGTAATAGCTGCCCTAAAGAATAACAGATGTCTTAGTCTTGATAGTACAGAAAGTATAGAAGCAGAGATGGTGAAGAATTACGGAGAGCCTTTCCTAAGAGAGATAACCTAATGGTGGAGGTCTGGATAACAGAAAAGATGCCTAAAGAATGGACTTCTGCTATTGAATGCCCTGTTTTTAAAAAAGGAGAAAAAAAAATTGCGACAATTATAGAGGTATATCATTGTAAAGTACAGTATACAAAGTATTTACAGTTCTGTTCAATAAAAAAGTTCAATTTAGGTCCGAGAAGATTTTAGGTAAATACCAGTGTGATTTTAGGCGAGGTAAATCAACTATAGACCACATTTTCTTGATAAGGCAAATGCTAGCAAAAACATGTAAGTAACAAATAGACATATATCACGCTTTCAGAGATTTTAAACATGCATATGATAGAATAAACAGGAGGGAATTACTGAAGGTAATGACAAAATTGAGGATTCTCATGAATGACCCTAAGTGGAAGTAGATCAGTCGTAAAGATCAATGGCCAATTGTCGGAGGATTTCGAGGTGAAAGAGGGGCTTAGGCAAGAAGATCCTTTATCCTCTACTCTAATTTGATATGGCTTTAGAGTATGCAATAATGGCGATTCGAACATATCCTGGTGACATGATTTATAACACGATGGCACAGCATCTGGTTTATGCTGATGATGTAATAAAGGCAAAAAATAAAACGGCATTAGCAGTACCATTAGAAGAATTTGAAACTGCAACAAAAGAACTAGGGAGACAAAAAAATAAATAGAAGACTGTTTACATGCAAACGTCAAGAAAGCCAAGTGAAAAAGTTGAACGCATCACAATTGGTAACCATCCCATAAAAAGGGTCGAAAACTTTAAATATTTGGGAGCATTGATTACTGAAAATAATGAAGTTGTGGAAAAAATGAAAGCAAGGATGGCTGCTGGAAATAGATGCTGTTTTGCCAAGCGAAAAATATTGAATTACAGATCCCTTTCTTATAGAACAAGGATATGTAAGGAGTGTAAACATTTTAACATAATTTGTGGATGTTCTGTATAAACTACACTACATTAAAAATATACGTGGATGAATGCCAAAAGGGTTGCTTGAGAAAATGTGGAAAAATGGGTATTGAGTTAAAAGAAAAAACGTGTCTCATTTCTATGTTATTATTTGCTGATGATCTCATGTCAGCACGAGATAATGAGAAAAAAGGTTGACCCATACAAACATGGAGAACTCAAAATGAATTACACTAACACTAAATACAGGAGCCTATAGAGAGAAATGAAAGCACTAATCCAACATTAAGGAAGCTGAGGAAAGTAGAACAATTCTGTTATCTAGAATCAATAATACAAAGTAATCGTGGAACGGATATAAAAGTTGAAAAAAATACACAAATGACAAAAAAGCAATGTAAATGCTTAAACTCCTTACTATGGAACAACAATATATGGATCGGAGACATG